TGCTCTGCTCCCCGCTCTGGCTCTGGTGAATTCTCTCACCCTCCCGCGCTTCTGACTGTACCCAGTGCTTGTATAAATAAATAAATAAATAAGTCTTTAAAAAAAAAAAAGTAGATGTCTCAACACTTGCATTACAAAAATAACCTGTAATTTCTTCATCTTTATAATCTTTATCTTCATTGCGCTAAATCAAAATTAACTCTCCATCATAGTTACACAGTTCATTAGATAATCAAAGTGAAGATTTGAACCTGGGTAAGAGCATAGCCGATTTTACTCTATGAGAGCCATTCTAATGAACACAAGATTGAATTTAGCTTACATAGGCATGATCAGTGAGACATTGCCATTAAGAATATAATTATTCTTGAGAGGAGGGATAAGTTTTCCATACCAAAAAATATGCTGGAGAAAAGTAATGTAGGATTTATTTTCTTCCTTTCTACAGAATGCACTGCAAAGATGTAAAGACTGGTTACCCAATGTTAATTTTTTTTGGTTCCTTTGTGTAGGAGGCAGGACATGGGCACAGTGCAGGTTTTCTGATCCCATGCAGACTGGGTAAAGGAGGAATCAGAGTCCTTAGTGGTTTTTGCAGGTCTTTTTATTGGGATTTACCTGTTACACAGCAGTAAGGGTGCTGGGGGGCCGGGAGGCTGGCAGTCCTCTCAGCCCCCAACAAGTCTTCACTCTATCTGGGCTCTCCCTCCGGCCTTCTCTCAGCTTCTGCTTCTCTCTCGGCTTCTGTTTTGGCTTCTGCTGCTGCTGGCGTCCCCATGACGCTGCCCTTAAAAGCCACAGGGAAACAGTCTGTTACTCCTTAGTCCCTCCAGGTCTTCGGAGGGCTCCATACCCGTCTGCACGGATCATCTTGCCGACTTATGGCAATTGTAGGGGCAGGAACAGGGCACCGAGCAGGTATTCTATGATCCAGCAGACCGTGTAAAGGAGGAGTCACAGTCCTCAGTGGCTTTTGCAGGCTTTTATTGGGGTTTACCAGGTACACTCTTTCTGGGCTCTCCTGCGGCCCTCTCCTTCTCCCTCTCCCTCTCTCTCTCCCTCTCCCTCTCTCCTTCTGCGCTGCTTTCTCAGCTTCTCTTTCAGCTGCTGCTGTTGTCCCCGTGATGCCACCCTTAAAAGCCCAGCCTCAGCCCAGGTGAATCCCATCTACCTATGCCCACATGCCCACACCCTACTCCAGGTGCCCGCCATCAGGCATGCATTCAGGACCGCAAGGATCCATCATCTATCCAGATGGCGGGAGGGCAGAAAAGCCTGACATTTTTTCCTTACCCTACACCTGGAAAAGCTGCTGAGGGCTCCAGGACTCTCCTTTACCCATCTGCATGGGATCATAGAGATCCCGCTCTTTCCCTTCCTGTCACTGCACACACTCATGGAAGACAAAGTGTAGGGAAAGGAAAAATGTCAGGCTTTTCTGCCCTCCCGCCATTAGGATAGATGATGGATCCTTGTGGTTTTCCCATTAAGTATGACACTGGCATTTGGATTTAGAAAAATGTGTCTTACAGTGTGTATCCATAGATCTCCTTTTTTATAAAGATAGACTATAAATGTTTAATGGCCAGAATGCTTGTGTTCTTGATCTAGAATATAACAGAATTTCCAACACTTCATCTTGATATTACTATTTTTACAAAGTTGAATAATTAGTTATAAAGGCTATTTGAGTACATAAGATGACAGAAGTAAAGCAGTTGAATCCTACTGTTGTCTGAGAGTCGCTGCTGTGAAGCAAACTCCAAGCTTAGTAAAAGAGTTTATTGAAGAGGCATTTCAGAACTAAATTGAGGACTCAGGGGACCAATATCAGATTTCTTTGAGTGAATGTTCTCTGGCTTTGAGGTTTATGGCCTTCATTGACAGGGCCATAAGAAGACTTTTTTATTAATGAAGTAGGAAAAAAATCTATTTTCTAACACTTTCAATTAGCTAAAGGCAAGTGGTTCCTAGCAAACTTAGTAAATTGGTAAAGGAAAAATACTGTGCATAGTTTTTAAGTAATCCCTTGATTGCGCAGAGCTAATTCATTCAGATCTGTGTGTTTAGATAAAAACCAAAGGTATTTGATGCCCCAAAATAGAAGACTGGATCAAGAATATGTGGTATACATACACAATGGAATACTATTCAGCAATCAAAAAAGATAAACTAATGCCATTCGCAGCAACATGGACAGAGCTTGACGGGATCATGCTCAGAAGGAAAAAGAAAAATAAGCCAGAAGGAAAAAGAAAAACATTGAATGGCTTCATTTATAGGAGGAATATAGGGGAACCAAATAAGGGATCAGGCAAAAATAATAATAAAACAATAAAACTAGCAGGCAACCATAAAAAGAGACATTCTGTGAGGGAGGGGGAGGAAAAGGGATCAAAAGAGGGGAGAGAAGAGCACAAGGGACTATGGTGATGGTTCACAGGTGAACTGGTGGTGGGAATTTTACGGGGAATACAGAATGATGTAAAAGATATAAATAAAGGGCCCCCCTGGTAGCACAAGGGGTAAGACACAACCTAGGAAGCTATCCACAGCCACTGCAGCACAAGTTCAATTCCCGGCCAGGGAGCTACCCACATGGCACAGCAGACCTCTCCTGACTCACCTGCTGCTCCCCTGAGCAGTGTATTTCAATCAATCTGCCTGTTCTGTTCTCCACTCTGTATCTGGTGAATCCTCTCACCCCCCCACACCTCTGACCTGTACCCCAATTCTTGTCTGCATAAATAATTTTTTTTAAAAAAGATATAAATAAAAAAACTAAATTATAAAAAAGAGGTATATGAATCACATCCTAAAATTATCCTTATTAATGGGGACACAGTTGGGGTATTTGGCATGCTGCAACATGACCTCAGATTGGTTTGTGGACTATTCCAGATGTTTCCGTTTCCTTTATTTCTCCCCTCAGGGTTCTACACAGTGAATAAGTGTCATTGTTCGCTGATTCCAATCTATGAATGGTCCTGTCAGGGCAGAGGTACACATTCCCAACACAGCAAAAAGTAGAATTTTCTTTTGTTGGTCCACAATGCTTCATTCTGTGTAAGTAAAATCCAAATAACAAAGGTTTAACTAAGAAAGAAAATAGTTCCTCAGCTAAAAATCCAGATAGAGGGATTCAGGGACATCTCTTGGTGCCACAGTTCTCTGGGTCTCAGGCAACCTTCAGTTTTGTATTTTGCCATGCCCAACATGAATGGCTGTCTTTGGGTGTCAGGATGGAATCATATTCACAATCCAAGCCGGAACATAAAGGAAGGGATAAGAAAGTTGTATGCCTTCTTTTTAAATGACAAGTGGATACCATTTCTATTTATATTCCAGCACTTAGTAGCTAGAAAGGTATGCTAGAAATATGTCCTACATGTCCACATTCTCAGCTAAAATTCTAAGGAAGAAAGGAAATCAGGAATTAACTAGTTTTTGTCAATGACTGACTTGGACTTTTCTGTGTACAGACACATTTCTGGCTTCTTCCTTATAGCAGAAAGTTCATTTAATGTGTCTTTCATCTCTTTTCAGTATATCTTTGCCCACTATTATAACTCCTAGCATATCAATCTTCAACTTATTTCATATTTTCCATGCAATATCTTAAAGAGGTTAATTTTTTAATGAGAGGAGTATACCCTAATGTCATATATTATATATTATATGATATATTATATAATCATAATGTAAACTAGGGACCCCTGAGAAGATTTCTGTGGACAAGCAGTCTTATCTATAATATTATAGATCATCTTAACCTAGGCTCTGAAACAAGCTCCAAAGTTCAACTATTTTAAAGTTAATCAATATATCAATTTGACCCATATCGCCCTCTAGCCCTCCCCCCAGAAGCTAAATAGTTGTATTGCCTCTATGTGGAGAAAACACAAAGTTTTTATTAAGGAATTCTGTTCCTTTATAATGAAATTATATTCATCAGGAATTTCTTTTTTATATTAGTTGAAACCTACACACCTTGAATTAGAACCTTCTAAACTGCTTTTTCCTCTAGAAACTAGAGATTCATGAGTCATTATGGGAGCTAGTAGTTTTTATATTCAATAAACATACTAAATAAATGTTTCAAAAGTTTTTTAGACTTTGATGCAAGATAAACTAATGGCTATCTAGAAGTTTCCATTAGGGGCCCACATTCAAATATTCTCTAGAAGTACTCACATACACAGCATATAATTATACTCATAGCTAAGATTCTTTGCAGTGATGTGATAAGAGTTCATATTCTTCTGCAGAAGCGAACAGACACAAGAAAAGTCTGGAGAGATGCATGCATAACTTTCCACATGTCTTCCTTCTATGAGAGGTCAAACAGAATTATTTTTTTCTCCACAAATGTAGCAATACATGCCTGATAGTTCTTCTCAGATACCCATTAAACATTCAGTGTCCAAGCAGCAATTTTGGGGCTGGTTATATATATAAACTGCAGAGTCTACAAAGAAAATACATGTTTCACATAACCACATTGCTAGCACAGCCTAGGCACAATAAATCACCTTTCTCTTTTACCTGTGGGTTGGGGACTTTGAGAGCCGAGTGCACAAGTGCTATCCAAAGGCTTTTCTTGGTCTCAGGTTTAATATGCAAACTCTTATATAGAGATCAGTAAGTGCCACATATTTACATTTCTAGATAAATATCATAAATTTATAATAATTAATTTGATAGGCATAAAATACAATACAGATATAATAGTCATTTTTGAAAAGTGTATAAGATATTTACTCATTTAACATTAAACTTTCCAGGAACTTATTTAAACTGTCATGTGAATAACAAGCTCAGTCGATGATGACATTTAAAGAGATAGTCACCCTGTTTTGCTTGGAAAGGCATTCCTACTTTACCACCTTCATGGAAAAACAACAAAATGCTGTTGTTTTGGGCTAAAAGCCAAAACCATGATTCTTCCTTCTTTTCCCAATAAAAGGCTCTGCACAAACTTTATCTCCAGGGTAGTCAGGATGGCTTTCCTTCACCCTTGGGTCTGTGTATTCGTTGGTTGTTTCTCTGTTTCATTAGCTGGAACAGACAATCTGACAACTCTCTATCCCCCTCTGTGGGAGGAGAGTCCTGGTCAGTTTAGTGACTATAAAGTAGAGAATGGAAAATACATTATTGATCCTTGGATATATTTGGAAAGAATAGGGGCATATAAAATCCTAACAAACAAAACATCGATGTTTTTTGAAAGATTTGAAGGAGGAAGTGAAGAAAATATTTTATGGGGATTGGCTCTGCAACACGGCTGGCAATATAGTTCAGGTAAGAATGATTCTTGTTTATATTCTAAGGATATACCAATATAACCATGCAGCAATTGGGAAATGGATTCAGGACGTACCATATCATGGTTTTGAAAGTTTGTTAAATTGTTTTCTTTCTTTTCCCTTTTTTTCCCTTATTATTCTTTCATTACAAATCAAGATCTAGCTAAGACTATACTCATTAGAAGAAATGCTCTCTCTCACTGACACATGTATGATGTTTGATGATATCATTTTACAGATTTGGAGATTAAGACATAAATGGCAAATTATTAGCAAAGGTCAATCTAATAACATAAAGGTCAATCTAATAAACATCAGAGCCAAGATTTTGTCTGGCTCAGGTCTCTCTGCCTATACCTCCCAAATTTTGAAGGTAAGTATAGAAGGAAATAGAAGAGAAAATAATTTAAAAATGCAAAGAATCTCCAAGACAGATAATTCAAAAATAGAAAATTGTTGTAAGATTAGAGAAAGTAAAAGAAATTGGCTTAGAAAATTGGTTAGAGATGGGAAATGAAGAGTAAAGAGTGATAGGTAGATAATCAGCTGATACATATCCATGCATTTTTGTGAACAAATGCACCTGTCAATTATAACCAGCTTCAAAAACTATATAATAAATACATCTGTGTATCCTCTCTTTTCTAGGCAGATTAGTTGACCCCACGCAAAAGTCAAACTGTGGCTATGAATCCAATCATTTGTGCATCTCCGTGGATAGCTGGTGGGCCGGTAGGTTCATTTAAAAAGTAAAATAGGTAATACCTTTGCCCCAAAGAAAAAATTCAACCTAAACTCTTCTGAACAGAGACAAAGCAGAAACAGTACTGTTAAAATAGAACCTACTTCATTGTGTGCTTTGTGGTCTTATTATCATTCTAGGATTTAACAGTTACAATGTCAATCATGATACATAGGATATATTCATCTTTTTAAAGGACTGCAACAATCATGGTCAATAATCTTTGAAAGATCAGCACTGAAAGTTAGAGGGGATGTTCCACAAGTGAGGGAAAGTGCTTTTTCTCTCTTTGCTCAGACCAAATGTGTTTGAATTTTAAACCCATAAACATGTCACAGATTAATATGCCATATATCATTTTATCAATCAGTAATCTTTCAGTCAGCTACTAACATAATTGAAATGTATCTTCTAATTTGTACATTGTATTTTCTGTTTTAGTATAAAAATTAATTTACACGTGATTTTTAGAGTCACTTGCCACAAATTAGAAGCAATAACTTATTAAAGTTCACTCTCTTGGAGTGATATACCTTACATACACCTTTACATATTTTTCTAATATGACACACACAAATGGTCCTGTCCACAGATCTAGAATTTAGGATTCTTTACTTTCAGATTGTCTTGGGAGTGAATATCTGTATCAGCCTGCTATGCTGGGACACAGAACTTAACTCACAAATTCATGTCTATGATGAAAGTGTTCTGCCTCATAAAAGAAATGAGTATAAGCTTTATAGCAACTATAGTTAATACTTAAATCTTCCATAATAGTTTATATGTAGGCAAAGATTTTTAAAAATCTTATTACATTGTCAATTTAATTATCCAAAGATCTATTGTCAATACTTATCCAACATTTTTTGCTTTAAAGATCTAATTATTTTTCACAAGAAATTTGTGATATCATGGTTGTACATTAAACTTAGCTAAATACCCTGTAAAATATCAATGTTATCACTTTAAGGTATTTTAGGAAAAAAAACAACATTTTGTGGTGAAACTTGAGCTTGAGTTATTTTATGATTCTGAGCATCTTTCTTAATTTTTTACCTAGTGCCTTGAAAAAAAAATTCCAAATCCATTAAAATTAATTTTTGTTTTAAAATATTAAACTCAACTTCTTTAACCCACATTTATTTATGATTATAGAATATGGACAGAAATATGTTCAAGTGATATATGTATGTAAATATATATATTTATAAAATATATATCCATCCTGTCAGAAGGTTTTAAATTTTTTTGCAGGGAGAGACTCATAAATATTTAGATCTGTGAGTTTTTGCTTAGTGATTTACAGATTACTTTAAAATATCCTCTGTGACATTTGTTAGTGCTTGGAATAATAATTATTATTTTGCTCTTACAGATTTAAATTACTTTTTATGTGCCTTACCCTTCTTTGCTGCGGTTGATTCTGGCATCATGGGGATATCATCAGACCAAGTCTTGTTTTTGCCTCCACCGGTAGAGCAGACAAAGTTCTGTTTTAGTGTTTCTAGTTGCAAGTCATCATACCCTGAACTGATGAGAAAGTGGAATCTCTTTTACCAGGTTTCTTTTTTTTTTTTTTAAGTTTTGTAATTTATTCTCTTAGGAGATGAGAAGAGAATTATTTTAATAACTTTTCATCTTGTTTTTTGTGTATTATATATATTATTGCCCTGAGTCTAAAAATATAGTTTTACAAGTTATCAATTTTATTACAATGCAGCAGGATATTACATATCATTAGCACCCTCTGTTCCAATACAGCATTAACATAAAATGTATCCACTCATCTCACCCTAAGTAAATTATACATAAATGTGAAAATACAGGATCTTATTTAATGTAGAGATTATTCTGGTTAATTGAACCATCAGGTCAATCAAAGATAATTCTTGGAGAAATATGATTATGAGTTGGTTATAGAAAAGACAAAATCATTTCAACTAAAGTAATGTGATTACATATAGGTAGAATTAAATACTTAATGTGGCAATCAAACCAAATATTTAATGACCAAAATAAAATGCATTGGTTAAGCATAGAGATGGACTCAGTTCAATCCTGAAAAGATTTACAGTTTCTATAAATAATTAGCACACTATATGATTAACTTAAATATTCTAATAAAAATTTTCCCTTTATTTAATCTTAAACATTTATTGCAATTTCAACTATGATAGCAAACAACAAAATAATAACCGAAAAATAAAGTCCTCATGACCAGTATAAAATATTGAACTGGAGAAAATACTTGCAGTTAATTTCTTTTAAATACATTTAATATTACTATTAATAACACATGATTATTCTAGTATTTACAAAGTGTTGGTCACTTATGACTTACACAAATTAATTCTTGAAATAAAATGCTCCTCTCACATAGAATATGTCTAATTTGTAAATGTGAACAAAATTAAATTGTATGGAAAAGGATTGTTATTGTTGCTTAAATATGAAGATGTTTCTTTTCTTTGCTGTAGTATATGAAGTCACCTTTTAGTAGCTTTGATGACCTGTTGAAATACTATTGGGAGGCACATACTTCAACTCTGGATGCTACTTACAGAACTTTTGAGGACAGGTAAGAAAGGAGCCTAAATCATTTCTATTTAACATATCAAATTACCTTTTTGTTTTATTTACACCTTTTTGTTCTTCTAAAGTGACCAAATCTTCTTATTAAATAACAAATATAATCATTGTTGATTTTAGTGATGAGTAGTAAATATAGTATGATCAGGCTTAAAAAGTGCTTTATGAACAAGTGGTAAAAATTTGAAAAATATCTTTCACCATCCATTCAACCAGTTTAACAACAACCATATTAGACATTCAACCAATTTTTCCCACTAAAAAGTAATTATCTTGATTATTTTTACCATAGACACCTATGGAAAAAAATCAACCAGCATCAGAGTTAGCATATAGACTAACTGGAAGATTATCAAGTCATTCCACATGTACACATAGGGGTATTATACAACTAGATGTGAAAGCTTTAGAATTATTTGTATGTAGATGTTAATGACAATGTATTAGAATTCTCCAGAGAAATATACCCAATAAGAGATGATAGATAGACAGACAGACAGACAGATAGATAGAATATAAGTAATTTTCTCCTGCTTATGGAGTTCAGCAAGCTCATAATCAGTAGCTGATAACAAATTCATGTTTGAAGACCAGCACCTGGGGGGTCTCCCTGGTGGCGCAAGGGGTTAAGTACCACACTATGAAGCAGTATGTAGCCTCTGCAGCATGAGTTCGATCCCAGAGAGCAACCCACGTGCTGATCTTTCTTAGGCTTCCATTAAATGACTTTGAGTAGTCCCACAGGTGTGAGTGAGAAGCTTAGCTCGCTGCACTGGTTTCTCATTTTCCATCATGCAAGCCTGGATGTTTTCCATCATGATGGGAGAATGTCAAGAGAGAGAAACCCAATTCTGAAAATGCATTTCAAACTTATGTTGTGTGATAACCAATATCCAATGACCAAATCTAATCATATGGGTGAGTCAGAGGCAAGTTTATACCTCTCTCCTAAACAAGGACATAGAAAGTGTTGAGGAATTTGGACCATGTTTGCAACCTACTGCACTATGGGGACCTCTTTACAATCTAATGAGTTATTTTCTTCAGGTAAAAAAATATCCTAGTGGCTATTTACATGAGACAACACTGAATTCTGTGCAGTCTACAGATTCTTAAATAAAACCCTGTGGCCCTCCAACCAAAGATTGACTGGCACATATATATCTATGTTCTAAGATATATATATCTATCATTTTACATATATCTATATAAAATATATAAACCATCTGTTTCTCGAACTGGTGTTCTCATCTCTTTCCACCTCTAGAGTTGCCAACTCCCTTGCAATTTATTCAATCCATTGTTAGTAGGGTCTAAAATCTTTACTAATTCATATTTCCCTTTATCCTTATTTAATTGTCAGCTATGATGTGACTAAGGACAGTCAGTTGTGAACCCAAACCAAACTCTGTCCCATGAGGGTCTATTACATTCACTCTTCTGTTTCTGAGTATTGGAGGTAAAAAAGGAAACCCCTAATATGAGAGCCAAACAGCAAAGTTTCACCTCTAGGTTATGCTATGAGTTGCCTAACACTGACAAACATAATACAAGGATTTTCTGCTTAATGGACCTTGCATATGTTCTGTGAAAGCATAGGAATTAGAATAGAATCTAATCTCTAAAAAATATAATCTAATGCAAAACAAACTTTAAATAAGTAAATAATGTGGTGCTATGGGAACATAGAGAAGGAGGGAATAGTCAATTCCACCTCAGGTGGACTAGAAAACTTTGTAAAGGAGGTGATCACTGTGATGAGATTTGAAAGAGAATGTAGCTGGTGAACAAAGCTCTGAGTAGATAACATTTCAACATTTACAAACTTTGTTATACAGTATGATTAGAGAGTGGATGGGGAGAGGATTTGTGAATTATATTGTTATGTTAATTTACTATTTATTAAACTTTTAACCTTCCCATTGTAATAACTTTGTTACCCCAAATGGTGAGATAATTTGTCTCCTAGCAGACTTCCTGAAATAGAAAAAAAAAAAAAACATTGTACTCAGAAAATCAGACATGATGTCTCTTTCTCTAGCATGCTCAAATTTGGAGGCTTCTAAATTTAAGAAAGCAACTGTGTTATAAAAGATGTCTGAATCCAGCAAAAATTTTGCCTTCCAATCTTTTATTTGCACACTTCTGAAGAGTATTATTTAGTCATGATATAATTAATAGCTGTTAGATGTGTAAGGTGTCTGTTAAGAGTAAAACTCAGAAGAAAATATAAGCAATTGCTGGGATAGTCCTTTCCAAATTTAAAAATTTCATTACCTATATTTTTATCTTCAAAGTTAGGAGCCAACCACCACATTCTAAGTCATCCTATTCCAAAATACAGACTCTAAACAAATAAAAAATTTAGTTTGTTGGCAGAATGTGATCTTTTCCACAAAACAGGCTGAAATTCTCAGTGGGTTATAATTATATAAGTTTTCACTTGTCTTTTAGGATTGAATATTATTCTAAACCAGAAGGAGATTTTGAAAGAAATTGGCTTTTGCTTGTGAAATATTTAACTGAAATGCGATTCCCAACAACACTGAATAGAACACATGAATTCCAAGAAGGACTGCCACCACGCATGCTTGTTAGTGGGGATCAACCACCCTTCATCAGTAACTTTACTAACTTACAGAACACAGTACTGTTTGCTTTAGATGTTCTTTATAAAGTGGATAGTGCTACAGGTAAGAGCCTTATAAACAATGACTTAAGAAAAATCAATATCACATTGAATAGATAAAGGAAGAAATAAAGATCATATCAGAGTTATAGATCATTACAGCACATACTCTGAAAGAAAATAATGATTTTATATGGGTATCCATTCTATATATTTTGGTTCTTCCACTCAGAGCCTGCCCTTTCTTATGGGCCTTTATCAATCCATGAAGTCATCAGTGTAACTTAAGTCCACATTTTTCATCTGCAAACTCAAATATATTCTTTTGTTGTTGTATTCTTTTTCATTCTAGTTCATGTTCTAAAAATAAAACCTGCCACGATTATTGGAAAACTAGCAAATTGACTTACATGGTTCAATTTGCTAATTCCCTCCATGAAGTTAGTCATGGAAGAAGTATTCTGGTACAACTTCTTAACTGTAGGGTTTTCTTGTAGATGAAGGACTCTATTATTGCAATATGGCCACATTATCACAATTTTCCAGATACACTTTTATGCAGTGAACCAATCTTAAACCATAACTATATTATTTATTCTTTTCAAAACAAAAAAGAATTGAAATATTAAAAATATATAAAATCATAGAGCTGTATATGTGTTATTGAAGTCATATTTGCATTGGTTAGAGTAACAAGAAAACCCAAACGTCTCATATTCTATTATTATGAAATATTCATACTAATATACTTGCTGGATGCAAGGTGTCTAAGGAATTAAATTATTGCTTGAGAATTACTCTTGTGCAACAAATCTACCATAGAGGAGAAGTATGAATTTTTGCAGTCACTTACATATCCCTGTCAAATCAAATTGCATTCCAGGCCTGAATTGTATAAACTGACTATTTTTTCTAAGGATGTAAAGGATTTGAGGAACTGAGTGGAGAGATGAAAGTTATTGCACTTAAAAGTGAGATTCTATTACAATATTCTGTCTAACTAGATTTATTGTGCAATTTTGAATTGCTTTTACAACAGAACAGAACAGAACAGAACTTATTTGAAAACACAATTACTGAAAACATCCTCACCTGGGTCAGGAAAATACACTTTCAGATTCAGAAAGCCCAGAAAGTTTCAAATAAGAAACCTAAAGAGACCTACATTGAGACATATTATAATAAAGTGTCAAAAATTAAACACAAAGAGAGCACCTTAAAAGCAAGAGAAAAACAACCTGTGTGCAGAGAAACCTCATAAGACCATCAGATTTTTCAAAGCAGAACTTTCATGGACTGCTAGGGAATGACATGATAAATTCAAAGTGCTTAAAGGAACAAAACTGTGAACCAAGAATATTTTACCCAGTAGAGATGTCAGAAGCACTAGACTAGCCTTACAAGAGAAGTTAACGTAAATTCTTTAAGTTGAAATGCAAAAAGGTTAAAGGAAAGTATATGGAAATGGCTAAATTCAGAATAATCTATGATGTAATGGTGGAGGATTATTCACTTATAAACGGTAAAATTACTAAAATTAATGTTAGTAATAATATTAATGGGTAAACAAGGAAAAAGATTATTAATTGTGACATCAAAAATATATAATGTAAGAGGAAAGTATAAAAAATGTAGAGCTTTGGTATGCATTATAATTTATTAACAGCTTAAAATAGAGTGTTAGAAATGTAAAATTTCTCATGTAAGTTTTGTAGTAACCATAAAACAAAAACCCATAATAGATATACAAATGAAAAGAGAAAGGAATTTAAGCTTACCACTGTAGAAAATCAGTTACCAAGGAAGAGAGCAAGAGAAGAAAGACATAAAGGAATTACAAGTATGAAGAGCTGATTAATTAATTTTCAAATTAAAAACTTTATGTGTGTGATTATGATGCAATGAATGTATACTATTTGTATGTAAGACAGAATTTTGTTGAAAATAAACATTTTGATAATGGATATAAATTTAAATTTACATGTAATAATTTTGTATATTTTCCAGGTTCTTTCTCTTTGACATTATGGAAAATTTTTATGGAGATACCTGGTGCAAGGGTGCTGGCTCTAGAGATTTTTGAAGAAGTTTTTAAGATCTTTAATCAGAAATGGCTATGAATTAAAAATCAACATTTCTAATTTGCTGAGCTCAATAACTTCAAATTTAATGTGATCAAAACCATATAGTTTTCTTTTTTCTGATGTTTTTTGATTTGTACTCATTTGTTAAGATTTTATCTATACATTTCTTCAACTTCAAATTATTGCTATAATTATATGACTATGTATTAATATAGTGAATATATTAAGACCACATATTAAATGATTGTTGATTTTTATCAGTATTTAAAATGTTTATGATGTAAAGATCACATTAATCTACCATAAATCACGGAGAACTTAATTATTATTAAACTTGTGTGTTTCTTTTGTTATCTTAAGTAATCTAATTTCATGAAATTTATAACAATATATCCTCATGAATTATAGCTAAAATCCAGAATATTGTATTATAAAATACTAGTAGTCAATTATAGTTTTAAAAACTATACTGGCAAATAGCATTATGTGCTTAACCATTGATGTGGAATGTGTCTGACCCAAATAGCATATTTTCTGCCTTTTAACGAATTTATTCTTATTTTTTAAATATCCTTATTTATTTTTTCACTATATGGGATTTCTCCCTTCAGGTGTGGTTACCATAGTTCCCACCACCAAAGTGCCCACAGTCATCCACCACCCTCTACCATGTTCTCCTTCCCCCTGCTCTCTTCTCTCTCCCTGTCCCTGTCCCTCTACTTCCCCTCTTGAACATCTCAGATTTCCTACTGCTTTCAAAGGTCAGTCTTACAGTTTGTCTTTGTCTGATCCTTTGTTTTTTCTTGATTCCACATATAAGTGAAACTATCCATTTATGTTGAAACCAACCCCCCCAAAAAAACAGGGATTAACAAAACATATCTTAACATAATTGAAAGCTATTTACTATAAACCCATAGCCAGTATCATTCTCAGTGGTGAAAAACTGAGAACTTTTTTCTTAAGATCTGGTACAAGACAAGGATGTCCACTCTCACTATTGCTATTCAACAAAGTATTGAAAGTTCTAGCTAGAGCAATTAGACAAGAGGAAAGAAAAGGAATCCATAATGGGGAAAAAAGAAGTAATCATTTGCAGATGACATGGTAAAATGCATAGAGAACCCTCAAAATTCCATGAAAACTAAAACAATCAATTTAGTAAAGTGGCAGGGTATAAACCAACACACATAAATCAGTTGCCTTTCTATACACAATAAGTGAGAGAAGGAAGAAATTAAGAAAATACTCCCATTTACAATTACACCCCCCCCCCCCCCGGAAAAAAGAAAGAAATACCTAAGAGTAAATCTAACAAAGGAGGTAACAGTTCTATACAAAGAAAAAAGACACTGTTGAAAGAAATAGAAGACACAGAGAAATGGAAAAATATCCCTGCTCATGGATTGGAAGAATCAACATTGTCAAAACGGTCACCCTACACAAAGCAATGTACAGATTCAACACAATCCCAATAAAACTATCAATGTCATATTTCAAAGAACAGGAGAGCAAATACTACTGAAATTCATGTGGAATCACAAAAGACCCCCAATAGCAAAAGAAGTGAATCATCAGGATGCTGCTGAAGAGCAAGATCTGGCCTTGTTATTGATAGAATAATCATACAGCATCAGTTGTGAGGGGTAGGAGGACAAAATGAAAAGGGCAGGTGAAACCAGAAAATGTGCCCTGTCATCTATATTATCAGGGATTGTGAGTCTGGCCTCTAGACACTTCTCATCTGCTTGATGACTCGGTATTATAATTGAGATCAAACCCTAGATCCCTCCCTACAGTTTCAATCTTATCATCAAGGCTTTCCACTGATCAGCTTCTGGGGTCTCTTGTCATACATTGGTCCTCGCCCCCTTCTTGCCCCCGAACCCCCTGTTCCTGGTCAAACCTGGTGATGTATAAGTCGGGAGTACGTTTATGCATCGGTCATCAGCCCCCTGAGCATTTCCAATCAGACCTTGTGTGCAGGGCCTACCCAGCGTGATCAAGCTTTCTGCTCTTGGTTGATTTGAAAGGCACCTTGTAAGGTTTGGCTCCGTTGACTGAATGACGGGACAGTTCTGACCTTGTATAGGAATGCAGAACTGATAATAAAAAATGGTGACCAAACAGGCCATTTAGGATTAGCAAACCCACAAAAAAATGTGTCTGTGATTGTGTATAATTTTCACGTTTGTAAATTGAATATTAGATAGTCTTTTCTTCTGTAATAGAGGGTTTTTAAAAACGGTTTCTTTTTATTTATGCAGACAAGAACTGGGGTGCCGGTGAGAGGTGGGAGGAAGGGGTTGAGAGGATTCACAAGAGAGAGTGGGGAGCAGAGCGGGCAGATACTGAACTGCACTGCTGAGGGGAGCAGCCGGTGAGGCAGGAAAAGGCTGCAGCATCATGTGGGTCAGCAACCTGGCCAGAGTTGGAACTCATGCAGAATGGCTGGCGATAGTTTGATAACACTGAGACTTTAACCCCTGCTCCACCTGGGACGCCCAATAGAGTGTATTTTGTAGGAAAGCATTAGAGAGCAGGGGATGTTGGCTGGGCGCTGAGATTGTATTGCCCCAAGGTTTGCCTAGTGGTTGTGCCCAGGAGGAAACAAGCGGCAGTGTTCAGATGCTGCCACCAGGTGGCAAAAAAGAGCAAGTGTTGGGTCACGGCTAAAAGGCTGCGAGTGAAACACAAAGGCGCTGACATAATTGCAGATTTTGAGGATTTCTTTTCGTAAACTAAAACGACTGGCCGTAAAATAACTGCTAGTATTTTAGGTTGACTGTATTTTAGGTATAATTAATACAAATCATACTGATTTTCATATGCAAGGATCTTTTCAGGTTTTTTTTTTTAAGTTTTCTGATCAAGCTTTTTTTTTAAATTCAAGAATAATAAGGGGATTGCAATTGTATGGGGAATATAAAAATAAAATTTATTTTAAAAAATAAAAAATAATATGATTTATTAAGTAGTAAAATGTTTGATAATTCATTTATTATGATTACTTTATTTCCATATTATAATTATTCGTTTCCTTATTTGTTCATTGATTTATGCAAGTGGTCTTATGATAATAAAAATGAAGCTATTAATTTAGTGTCAAAATTTTGGTGGTATCTTTCTGTATTCCTTCATATGCAAAACTCTTTTGCTAAAATGTAATTATGATATACAGTTTTCACCTTATTTTGCCACATATACTTTAAGCCTGTCACTTATTGATAATTTTTAAATTTCTAGTACATTAGACCTTTTCTATATTTTCCAATATTGACATAATACTACATTATAAGTCAATATAAACAACTCTACATATGTAAATTTTAATTGTTTATGAATTTTAGGTTAAAAATCCTTTAATACATTTTTTTAAAGATTTATTAATGATACATACAAGAACTGGGGTACAGGCCAGAGGTGGGGGGGGAGAGGATTCACCAGAGACAGAGTGGGGAACAGAACAGGCAGATCTGCTGAAATACACTGCTGAGGGGAGCAGGGGGTGAGACAGAAGAGGTCTGCTGTGCCATGTGGGTAGCTCTCCGGCCCACCAGGGATCGAACTCAGAGGCTGTGGATAGCATCACAGTGCTGTGCTTTAACCCCTTATGCCACCAGGGAGGTTCTATCATTATGATTCTTATACCTAATATTGTTTGGTTATTTTTTTATCTTTTCTTTTGCCATGCTAGTATTGTGTTCTTTTATTTAGTATGTTCAAAAATTAATTTAAGAAAGTTTTATGGAGTCTAATGGAGTCTATGACCCATTTGAAATATGGGTCTATTTTCCTTTGAATTATCTATGGTTCTTGTATTTGTTGTCTAAGTTCAGCTTCCCTTGGAAGTTTTGTTAGGGGGAAAAGGATGTCCCAAAGCTAATTCCATATAGGCTTTGTGGACTCCACCCCCACCCCAGGTCAAAGCCAAAGACACTGGGAACTCCAAATCCCATCACCACCAAAGGGAAGGTGGCTGGGTCCGGCCAGCTCTGAGAGTGACTTTGGGTTTCCAGGTCGTCGGATCAGGTAGGACGCATTAAAGACTTTATTTCCCTATTTTCTCCCTGAGTTGTACATTTTCCTTATTTCCTTTTCTCTTGTAAATAAACCTTTTATTAACCTTGTGTGTGTGTCTGTAGTAGAGTATTCATAAGTCCCTTTAAAACGTGCGGGTGAGGACCCACAGCCAGGAACCCGTTTAATATCGGGGTTGCTCTATAACAGATTGACTTTGTTAGTAGCATCAAACTGTAATAAATTCCAATGAGATCAATGAGTGAAGAGTAAATAAGCCTTAACTAAAGGAGCCCTGTAACCCGTGGATGAAGCCAAAAAACTGTTAGAGGTAGCACCCCCTGGAGGGGTTTGCTGGTGAGGATAGTTAGCCCAGAAAAAATGCCAACAAAATACTGCATTTGGGGTGGAGACTCTGATAAGAAATATAAGGGACTACATAAGTAGCCCCCAGGATTCAGTGTTTGGAATTGAGCATTGGAATATTCAGTGTTTGGGATTCAACATTTTCAGATCTTCAGGGATTCTGGGGTCAGCGATTTCTGCCCCCACCATGCCTATTTTCCAGAAGGCGGTTGAAGGCCCCTGAAGAACATAGAGAGGCTTCCAGCAGCCAACCTCAGAGAGGAAAAGTTGTGAAGCTTTCTAAGTAGGCACACAACTGAAACTGTACCGTTTGCTGCTGTTACAGCGTGGCAGGGAAGGCACAGACCAGGAGCAGGCGCCTTGCTGAGCTGCATGAGTGTGGCCGTTTGTTCAGCTTATTGCCGTTGCTGTTGTGAGTGCCAGTTGTCTGGTGCTGCGCTGGGGCATCTGGGCAGCTCCGGTGAACATATTCTGTTATGTCTTCTACTGTCTTTGTAAGTTGCATCCCGGCCTATAGTCTGGCTGCCACCAACTCCAGCTCCACAGTGGCGAGAAGACACCATTGTGGGACTTGGAGTTTAGGACTTTAAAACACTGGACACTGCTTCAGGTGAGGTAAAGGGCCATTTGAGGCCTTAGTAACTCTTTAT